ATTTCGGTTGGCTCAACAAAAAATTTCAATGTCATTTTGATTTTTGTTCATTTACACTCTGTAATGCTCCTTCAACAGCAAGATTTTGTTAGGAAATGAAATGAATATAATTTTAAAGTGCTGATTTTTTCTGACATAAAATTTTTAAAATGCTAACTTCTCATCTTCCAATTACATTAAGCATCATTTTTCGATTATGCTTAACGCTAACAATAACAATAAGAATATAATAAAATGACATTCCGAAAGTATCAATCATATTCCAAGAATACGAAATTTTCATTTTTTGTATTCATTAAGAACAACTCGGACAAATGTTGCGTAAAATTATGAATGCCACTGTCGGTAGGAAACTAAAAGCGGTAAAAAAGATTTGTTTTATACAAATGAATCAATTGTCGTTTAAAAAGCACTTAAAAAAGTGTCATTAAAAAAAATTCAATTTTGCAGTCATATTTCATAATAATAGTAACATCATTTTACAATTTAATCCACTATCAAACAAGTGATAATGTGATTAATTTTATCAACTTACTTTATTTAAACTTGAACAATTTGTTAAATTAAGTGGTAAAAATTTTGTTGAAACTTAAAAAATTTGATGTATTCGGTTGTTTTCTATTCATTTCGATATTTCGATATTTAAAAGTTTTATCACTGAACTTGAAAGAATATTGGAAACGATTTACACGCATCCCACTGATGATAATATTGTAATAAAACGAAATTGATGGTTGGTATGTCAGTAATGGGGTAATGAAATTGACTGATGGAGTTGTCAAATTACAGGAAGTTGACAATGCGGCATTTATTTGATGTCATTGACTAGAAAAGTTTCTGCAAAATGGCATATAGCTTGAAAATAATAAATTTTTTTGTTTAGAATTATTTGTGTTGCATTTTTCTGCTCACATTACTAACTTTCAATTCTTAAAAATAATATCTGAGAATGAGAAAATTTTTTAAATTATCATATAGAAAGTTTAAAATTTTAACAAAAAATCTAACATTCAGCTATATCTCCAGAAAATCTCGGATCATACATGTCGAGATGGGGTATTTTGAGGACGAGAAATTTTGTTATTTTTTAGAATTCAGACGCAAAAATGTCTGACATATGATACAAATAAATTTGACGTACAACGTCAAAATATATCAAAAATACAAAAATTTTACAATTTTAAAATTGTCCTTACATTACTTTATTTTTTTTCAAAATGCAAATCTTTTGAATTGATATGTAGAACTTCTTTGGTAATAAAAAATTATTTTACAATTGAGACTGATATTTGAATCTTCTGAAAATACCAGACAGCTTTGTGTAAATATGAATCGCTAGAAAAGAGAAGTACTGATAGGCATGACCAAGAAGTTTCGAGTAAGTTAAGCCAAGGAATGCTATCGTCTGTTAAATTCAACTGTTCCAAGCAATTGCCATTTTAAGTAACTCCTACAAAAATTTTTGGAAATTTCCATACAGTGTTTTGGCAAGATCTCTTTACGCTCAATGATAATTCCCATAATTTCTTTCGAATACCATCAATTCGATCATTCCGAAATGTTTCCTATCTATCGATCCCAAATGTTAACAATTTAAATTGGAAACTTTTTAATGAAAATGGCAACAATCAAATTGATGCATTTGATTCTCTTATCACTTAAATTCTTAGTAATTCTTCATCATAGAAAAAATATAAAATTATAAGCCAGTTAAATATTCTTTACGATTTATATATGGGTTATACTAAAGACGTCGATCAACCGGAAGAAAGTCTGCAAAAGATGGATATGTTCGTTTTGTTATCATTTATAAATTCAAATTCTGACAGAGACATATATAACAAGTAATTTCAAAAAGAACCTCTACAAACTATTCACCTCATTTCATTCAACAATTTCTACAAGTTTAAAGATAGTCGTATGAATCTCAATCATTTGACCATATTTAAATCTCTAAAAATTGTTGAATTTTATATTTAAAAATTAATTTTTTTCTTACTGTTTTACAGAGAAATGGAATATTAATTGAATGAACAAATTTCATGATTTACACTTGGCTCAACACGGAATTTTAGCATGAAAAAAGAAATAATGACTTCAAAAATGATTGCAACGATAAATTTCTTCCTATTTACTTTTTACCTGTACATAGTCAATGCAATTAATTTTTTATCTTTAATAATCTATAGAATGAAAGCAATTTCTTTGTAAACGATGATGATAAAGGTGATGACCAATGTTTATTAAATTGGAACAGACAATTCTCTGGGGAATGATGACTTTATTCATTATCACATATTATTACTTATGAATCATATATCATTAGCATGACTTATTACGAATCACACATAGATAACTTTCATTTTTATTGGATATATGTAGATATAACTAATTTTTTTATCAAAAAGTCAAAAATTAAATTTCACAAAAATTTAATTTTTATGAGTTCTTCATTCTCAGTTAATTCTGTAAAAGCACTGAGAGCTTTTTTCCAGGTATTGCGGAAACGGAACTTGTCGATAGTATTTGAGAGGTCACGTTATCCGTATCACAATGCTTTCTGTTTAATATCTTCGATGTCATTCTGTGACATTGACAAATTATGGTTCTAATGATGAAGTATTGCTCGTTATTTGCAATATTTACAAAGTGAAACAATGAGACTGACCTATAAAGATCGTTAAAAAAAATCTAATTTCATCTTCATTGGAAGTGCAGTATTTTAATGTGAACCGAACGAATCCAACACCGTCATTCGATCATCAATGACAAATGACTGATGTCATATGAAATATATCGAAATGGTTGATGCATTATGAAGGATCGCGATACTTCCGTGTTTAAAATACTCGTTGTGTCTTATTACATACGGATAATCATTCCATTCACGTAGTGATTGTAAATGTTCCGGTAATGACCATATATGTAACTTTACTGTCAGATTGAACAAAATAAGGTAGTTGCAACAGTAATTACTTCCGTTATAAATGAGCCTGCAGAATAATGACTGTTCCGAGAGTATGAAGAATGATGACCACCTGCAATTTGCTGCTTAATTCACTTGTTGCAGATCTTCCCTTGAATTTATTGTTCTTCATGCTATGAGAAATTCAGCGGCATAAACAATACTATCTATTTATAACAAACATTTCTAATAACTACGTTGTGTTAATGCATTCCATATCTCCCAAATCCTTTTATTTGCATTAATGTGTATGCACAGCACTTACCAAGCAACAATGCAGGTCCCATAAATAAAAAACAATGTGAGATCTGTACAAAATATATGCGTACGAAGCGTAAACATTACATATAGAAATTTTACGAATGAAGAACAACTGTTTGGATAATATTGCTATTCATTAATTACAGACATTTCAGGCAGTGATTTTTTTGTCAACTATGTAAATCTTTTTCCTTAAAAAACATAGCATACATTTAGCTCTTGCTAGGAACGAATCAGACTGATTAAATCTGTTTACGAAAATTAAAAATGTCAACTCTAACATATTTGAGCAAAATTTTAGTATAGTGGAAGATTATATTAGCCCTACTTGCATCAAATAAAAGATAAAATTAGACATATTTGTTTCCCATTAGAAATACAAATCTACTTTATTGAGAATAATATCTTGTTAAAATCCCCTACCTGCATCTGCAACTCATTAGCTTATATACTTTATTTCAAGAAGCCAGTTATAGTCTCGAAGTTATTATACTGTGAACCATTACTGATTATTTCAAAATTCCTTCCCATCAGCATAAAATACACGAAAAATGAAATGAATCAGAAAAGTGAAATGCATCAATAACAGAAAAAAGTGCTCCCTGTTTACAAAAACTACTAGTAACTTGGCTTAAGAGATGTTCTCATAGCATTAAAGAAAACAAATGTGCCAACTTGACAATAACAATAACAACAAAAATGGAAGTATAAGAGGCAGGTTTCGTGTAACAAAACATTATACATACAATTTTATAAGTTCATCACCAACAGCCGCAGGTGTCAAAATACCAAGATTGGTAAAAAGCAGATTAATATACTGTGGTGGAGTATAATCGACAAGAGGATGCTCATTTGAAAAATCGCTGTCAAGCTTATGCTTTTTCAGAGTTGATGCCGTATACTGAAGATTATATTTACACAAAATTTAGCAAAAATAATGAAGATCTGATATCGTTATTCCGATTTTCCGCCGGAATAAGACGAAAAATTACAAAAATCAAAATAAATATTTAACAACTGAAAGCCTTCCTCTACAGAAGAAGATATATGCTGTTTTACTAAAAATCTGTTATAACATAATCATTGAAGAAAGTAGCAAAAAGAGAAATAAATCAAACCTTAAATTCAATCGGTATATCATTTTGGCTTAAAGGATATTCCTTAACAAATTTGATACTTTCAGCCATAACAAAAAATGGTTTATGCATCGCTTTCGCACATACGGCCAACGGATGTGTACCAATTTTATTTATTATACCACCAGTTTCCATAACACCTTCTGCACCAACCATTACCAAATCAATCGTTTCCATTAAATACCTATAATACTCTACAACTGCAACTGAAATAAAAAATATTAATTTTGAGAAAACATAGTTTCTAAGCCTTGTTTTTTTGTTTTTATGAATTAAATTTATTCCAATTACCTGAGGACCAAGCAAGGTGCGCTGCAATCGGAGTAAAATATTGAAGTAATATGACCCTAATTTAATGTATAGCATGGCTAACAAATTACCAAATGGACATTTATCAATGAGCCTTTTTGAAGATGTTATTTTCAGTCATAATTACAGTGAAAAATATTTTAATATCAGCATCACTCCATTATATATATATATACTAGCGAAACTACTTTATCGCAAACTTTAAAGTTGGAGATTCATAGAGATTATTTTCAAGATAATGACATATAACTGCCTCATGAAAAATAATAAATATGTATTTTCGTTCACTATATATAACCTGACATATCATGAATTAAAATTTACCCAACTCCGGCGTCCAATATTAATGTACACTGAATTCCAGCATCTTTTAATGCTTTGATCATGATATCGCCTGAAGATTATTTGAGAGTTAGTTAAATAGAATCTTACATCTCACAATTTAAGAATCATAAAGCGTAAAGAGTGATCTAACATAATGCCTGCCAAATAGAGATTGTAAACCCTGAAAAAAATTAAGAGTACACAGATCAGAAAACAAAACTACCTGACTTATCAGGACGGGATTCCGTAACGAATACATGTGCATTAACGCCGTCTCTCCCGGCATATAACAACACTTCCAATACAATTTTACTGTATGAGTGAGTAAGAATACGCTAAAAATTTCAAATTTTCAATTATTTTCTTTATAAAGTATGAAATACAACAATGAAAACACCTAATGCTAACTTGAATTATTTCTGACTCAAGAAGACTGGATAAATAAATTATCTTAGCAATTTCTGAATCTTCATTCGATTGTTTAGACTTCAAGGAGCAATTTCAAACTTTATCTCCCATTAAACCTGATTGATGAATTGTTCAAAAGACTTATCTTACTAACACTAAACCGAATCGGAATATATGTTTAGGAAATAAATGCAAGATAAAAAGATAAATAATTTGACATGAGAGTCACCATATTGTTTCGAATAAAAGGCCTTGCAAAATATGCTATCAGCGTTTTGCTCAATTCCACTCGCTCAAGAAAAATATTTCCACGTTCCTTGTATTTATGCATTAAGATACTAAATTCCTGTATATTCTCTTCCGGCGTAGCAAGTGATATAAACCTATAAATATTACAATTACCTAATAATAATGAATTTTTTTATCCATTTAAATCCACTTAAATCACAAATTTTCTCCTATTCCTTATTTCGCGTTGCATATTGCACTCATCCCGCATTCATCGTTAATCATACTAAGGGAAATCTTCAATGAAAACACTTTATAAGGTTGATTACGAGATAATTTATTAAATCAAACCTTAAAAATAATTCGCTGGCACTTCGAATAGATGGTACACTATGGTCAGTTGATGACATAGCAACCACTGCATTCCTCAATTCATCCGTCAGTTCGTTTACTGTTTTTGCTGCAAATTATATTTCTATTATTCAAAGTGAACTGCTTATTAAAAGTTCTAACATAATCACACATTATATGTACATATATGGAAAAAAGAAGAGAAAATCAACAAAAATTAAAACAAGATGAGTGAAAAAAGAAAAACCTTTGGAGATCTCGATGCATCGCATCAATGTTTCAATAGCTGCTTGACCTGTCGATTTTAAATTATCCTTGCCGTCTAATAACTGCTGAAAATGCTTGGCGATGTCCAGCTCCATTATTCCTTACTCTGTAAGCTATAAAAGTTTTTTAAAAGAATAATAAGATATTCAAATTTCGCGGTCTATCTGCAGCTAATATATTGCTAAACATATTTATCACAGACACCCTATTTAGCATCTAATTTGCATATGAAAGTAGCAGAAATATGGAGGTTATTGACCGGCCGGAAGTTCCCCCCAAGTCAAGGAACTACGCCAACCCATCTTTCCTCCAACCAACAATTTCACAGCAGACAAGCCATCCATCAAATACCCAACGGTCATTTAACATTTCGGTCATATTAAGCTACTAAAGTCGAATACACTTCCAAAAGAGTTACCGGTTGTGGGTGTGGCCTTTCCGGTTATTTGTGACGGATGAATGAATGCTTCGTGTCTTCTGCTGGGAGTTCCATGGGCACGTAGAAGAGTATCTGATTCACTTCACGTGACGTGTGCTCATTGCTTAATCAATTTTACATGGGAGAAGAGATATGAGAGATTGCTTTAGTTTATGTAAATTTTAGTAAGAATGATATGTCTCTCAGCTTAGATCATACCTCTCTCTCTTCTGTATATCGTGTTTCTATCGTTTGTATGTCATATGTATTATCTATAGGTCATGTCTGTATCAGTATATATGTCTCTGTAATTAACAATTCATGTTTGCATCTCTGTAAGTTTTCTGTTAGCTAAAGGTCATGTTTGCGTCATCTTTAGGTTATATCTCTATCATTTGTATCATATAAGTCTTCTATTGATTATGTGTGTATTGTCTCGAGGTCATTTGTTTTGAAAGTTCATGCAGAAGACCCCAAAAATACATTCTCATCTCTATAGCGAGATCAGAATGTATTTAGGGTCTTCTGCATGAACTTTAACCAGGTTTACGCTGATTTGAATAATTATTCAAAATCGAGGTTTTAAATTGTACAAAACTATGCGCGAAAATTGCAAGATGAAAAAAATTTTCTGAAATTTTAAAAATATATTAATGATTTCCTGTGAAAGGCATATATAGCAGTAGGAAAGTAATGTTTATTATGAAAGTTCATGTTGTACCTATATCTATTTTAATAACTTGAATGGTTGCTTTAATTATTATTAATACACAAGAATTAAAATGGCATTAAAATAATACTCTCATCAGAAATTTTCTTTCACATAAGTCTTGACGAATTGTGTAAGCTTAATATTGCTGTAGCTAGCGTTAAAATGATGATATGGTCTTTTGTAACTTCATAAACTGTTAAATGCTTTTTTGTCTTTTTTTGATCATATCGTTTATCTTAACTGCTTGTCTCTGGAAAGATTTTATAACTTGAAATATGTTTGCTCAAAAAAATTGATTATAGAAACTTATTTTGTGTTTTGCTTTCCAGGAAAATACATTTGGAAATCCATTTGCCGGCATTTGCAAGGATGGTAGATGTCAAAGGTATTGCCGGATTACCGGTAGAAGAAGGACGCATACGGGATGCAGTTGCAAGGCAAATACAACAGTTCGGTACGCTATTTTCTATTTGCAGACATAATTTTAGATTTTTAAGTTGGAAAGGATTATTTAAAATCTCGGATACGTCAAATGATTTCTATTTTTTTTTAAAACGTAATGGAATAATTTGTTTTTAACATTCAAATGTATTCTTTGATTTTCGCAGGAATGGATAAATTGACAAGCCGAATAATTCGGGAAAAATTGAAGGAAACCTTCGATGTCGACTTTACAGACCATAAAGCAGCCATCGATAAAATTACTATGGATGTATAGTTTTGCAGTGTTGTCACAGTGAAGTTATATCAGTAAACATTATATCTCAATTTATATTTGTAGCAATTGTTTTTGTTTCACTGATAGTTGTTGAAGATAATTGAAACAAATACTACCGAGAAGACGAAATCAGAGATAAGTAATAAATCGGATTCGGAATCAGATGATGGAGTCGTTTTTACAGATCGCGCACCGAGAAAAAAAGTTAAGGTTTGTTGATCTGTTTTCACTTTGCAGTTTCACAATTTTTTTAATTGTTGGTAGTTTCTGAATGAAAGAATTTGCATCTTGTGGTTATGTTTCAACACACTCCTTAAAATTTTATAAATTGTTAGTTTCATAACATGTACCACATAATCAAGATATATTAGTGTACTAATTTAAAGCATAAATTTATTCTTCTTAAATGGAAATTCTTAGGAAACGAGGAAACGAAAATCCTCAGAATCAGATGCAGAGTTGTTAGAAGTTGGACAAAAAAGGAGACGAGCAGCAATAACAACAAGACAAACTACCAAGAAAAGGAACAAGGGAAGTATTGAAAGTGGATCAAAGCCTCGCAAAAGAAAGGTATGAAGTTTACCTATTGTATTATTTATGATCATGGAATCCTTTGCATAATGCGGTCAGATTATCTCCATACGGTTCAATGTATAGCAGGAAATATTCTTACACAAGGAAGCGATTTAGGCTAGAGCCAAATCAGGCCAATGGTTTAACTGCTGACATTATAAAGTTAATGGTTTCGATTTTCACTGTTGTTTATATATCATTATTTTTACAAATTTTATTTTCATTTTTGCCATGTTGTCTTTACTTTCCATTCGTCTTTTTTTCATAAGATTTTTTAAAATATATTTTAATTTTTCATTCTAAGATTTCTTTTCGAGTCCAATACACTATTCTCAGGGTCCATATAATGTTTACTGCGCACTGACAGAAGATCTTGCTGCAGTCTGTGGTAAACGGTATATGCGACGGTGTGATGTGATCAAAGCAATGTGGGCATATTTTCGGAGCAATAATTTACTTGATCCAAAGGTATGTTATTCCCGATTTCCTGTCAAATAACGCAGTTCTTTCACTTCCTTTCCGAAATAATAATAAACGACTAGTCGTTCTTTTTTAAAGGATAAACGTTATGTGTTGCCCGATGAGCCTCTCATGAAGATTTTCAAGAGGCGTTTTCTTGCTTTTGGCTTAATGAAGGATCTCGCTCCTCATATCATCGAACCAAAGTTTCTGGATGAAGAAGAGCGAGCTGCTTTGGAAAAATTCGAAGCAGAAGAAGAAGCGCGACTGGAAGCTGAAAGCAATAATAACAACAATAATGGTGGTGACGGAAATGTAAAGCAGGATGGTGACAGTACCAAAAAAAAGGATATCACTGAGGAAAATGATGAAGAGGATGATGACGACGATGAAAATAAAAGCAGTTGAAGTTCTCGTAACTTTTAAATTTTTCTTCCCGAAGATAGTTAGGGAAAATGAGCTACTTGATTTTCCCATCATAATTCCGGTAAAAGGTATTCAAAGCAATGCAATAATTATTTTCTATCGAATACCTTGAAATCGCTTTAGGCATTTTTTATAATTAATCTATGCCTCACTATCTCTTTTACATTTCCTCATTTAGATTTATCATCGTGGTTGTCTTTTGTGAGTCATTGTTTTCTTCATTTTATATTCCATCTTGTTATGGATTTCTTTACCTTTTCTATCTTGCAGAAGTTTCGCAAATTACTATGAACGAAGACCGATGTTCTTGTACAGAGCCACTTAGATGAACAACTGCTTTTTTCAGTTTCATTCAGCACAACTCTTGTTACTACTGCGTTTGCGCTACTACGGTTACCTCGTTTTGAACAGAAATACTCACTATTATTATCAGTTTAATGAATCTGCAGTGATTGAGTTGAATAGTTGAGTAAAAAAGCATAAATTTTTAAAAATGTTGACTGTTCTCTTATGGTGAGAAATTATGTATTTTTTAATAAATAATACTTCGTTTTATTCCCTTTACAAGAACTCACATCGTTTTTAAAATATTTTCAGAAGGAAAATAACCAAATATCTGTTTATTTAAAGTGCTGTTGAAATGTTCCTGTTTTTATAATAGAATTGTATAAAATTATTAGAATATTCATGTTTCTGTTTTCCTTATATATCCTTGTTTTGTTTTTGTTTTATTATTGTATTAATTTTACCATTCAACGAAATACAAAGATAATTAAGGTTTGATGCACGGATAGTTCGGCGCATAAATTGACGCGTGGATCGGCCAGTGAACTTCTTTTAAACGACTGATGCACAGCAGCATTATTATTAGTAGCGTAAAACGCTGAATAATCGGATGTGGATCGTGATTATAATCGCATCTCTTACATTTGGTAAAAAATTCAGTAAGTAATAGCTTAATAGCTTAATTCGATGTAAGTATTCCTTTGTGGATGATGAGATAAATGAATTTAAAGTGGTTGATGCGAGTAGCATATATTGCTTGATTTTAATGACAATATGATTAAAAGTACAAAGAAGTTTGGGGATCCAGGAATTTTCGTGAGATAAAATCTAGACAAACATTATTCCGTTCACAAAATTAAGGATGACGAATCTGTGATGTGATTCAGAATATCATTACCTACTGATCGATATATGAAATTTAGTCATAGTTCTTGTCCCAACCAAGCGTCTCGACGCTTCTGCTTATAAATTGTTTCTTTTTGCTAAATTTTACTGCGTATTTTTTTTATTCACAAAATTTGCCAGTTTCTTCATTGGGGCCATAAGATTTCTTATGCAAAATGACAGTAGTTTAGGTGCAGTAATCATTGTTCTAGATTAGAATGAATTCAGGATAATTCGCAGTTTGTAGGAAATTTCCTCAGAATTTGATATTTTAATTCCTTTCAAATCTTGAACATGAAACATATCTGTGCACGCCGGATAACGCACTATCATTTAACTGTCAACCAAGATGGATTGAGGCCAAAAACAAAAACAGCGATTATATATGACCATTTCTTCATTTTATTCCCGAATTTTCACATTATTCAATTTATATCTATTATTTTTGCACAGTTTTAGTACTTTTCATCTTTGTCTAAAACTGGCTAATTGTGCGAGAAAGAATTCTGAAGCGAATTAAAATTTTGATAAGGCAGGCATTTTGATAAAGTAAAACCTTTGCAACTTGGTTTATTATTGTTAATACATTGTACAGTTAACCACTTTTAAAAGTGGAAAGAGCTAAAATTGTGGTAGGCACGAATTGCTATGAAATAATGGAAACAATAATCAAATGATTTCCTTTCATATTGTAATTGGGCTAATTTTTAAAATTTGAAAAATTTATCCTTAGTTGAAAGGCTACGATGAATTTCCGAATAATTCTACATTTACATCCGTGAAGAATGTTCTATTATTAATAAATTAGCAAAAATTAGTAAAAAAGTGTGTCCACTCTAAATAATAGCATGCCAAAAATTTTACAATCTTCAATATTGCAAAAAAAGGACTGAAAGATTTCTGTGAAATTTCAATGAAACCAAAAAAAGAACCGTCGATATTTCAAATATCTTAAGTCTTTTAGTAATTCATTCATGAATAAGTGGTTTTAGCAGTATTTCGAAGTGATAAACAATGATTTTATATTTTAGCACACTTTCTTTAATCCTGAATTCAATCATTGATAACTTCTCCATGAGATTGTTATGATAGATTAAACACTTTTGTTAGAATAATTTGTATAATTTTATTCTTTTCAATCTCATTAATAGAAACTGCATCTGTTTGGTTGGTAAATTGTACATAAAAAAATCTCACGATAATCTAGAGAAAAATTAAGACAGGGAGAGAGAGAGAGAAAGGGAGAGACAAAGGAAGATGAATAACGAGATCATTTTGAATTCGAAATGCTAAAAAAGCAATTGTAAACTTCCTGTGTTATTACTTTTTTTAGTGAAAGAATTCGCATTTTAATTTAGCGTTTTCTAATTCAGCACTAAAAAACGTGAATGTTTCGAATTCAAATTTCCAAATTTAAGACAACGTTGAATTGCATTATTTAACACAAATCTTTCATTTTCTGAAAAGCCTCTCTAAAAGTAATTTAACAATTATATATATATATATATATATATGATTTTTGTGTTGTTTACTTTTAGTAAAGAAGTACTATCAACAAACAAACAAATAAACAATTTCTCTAATAGTAATTTAGTAATAATCCAAATTAAATTTTTAATAAAAAGGAAAAACAAGACGGCACCGGAGTGAAGCGATCTAACATCACATAGTACTATCATTTGCACTCAAAATTCGATAAATTCAACAAAACAAAGTAAATTCAAATTTCAAATTTCATAAAACAAAAAAAAGAGTTCATCATAAAAACCATAAAACAGACATAGATCCCCTGAGAAAAGAGAATTGTCATTTTATAATCACAACACAAATATCTTTTTAATAAATTTTCAAAGCAAAACTGGAAAATTTTTCTTGAAAGATTCATTACTGCATAATCGATAAGTTCAAAGGTTAGTAAGATATTTGTATTATGATATTGAGCATAAAACTCGCTGCTACATACAATGAGATGTTCTAAAAGGGGCAGAAGGAAATGAGGATATTAAAATTAGACAAGAAAGAAAGTTTCGATAACAGAAAAGGAAAGATGAATTTGGAGGAGGGAGGAAAATGAAAGTGTAGTTTAGTTACTGCTATAACAATGTATCGGTATCCTCAGGTGATAGTTCGGATTTAGTTGGTGTGGATTGACCCGATGCAGCAGAGACTAATGATGGACGACCCGAACGACGAGGTTGAAATGAACGTGAAGTGGTTGGTAACAGCGTTGGAGATATAGAACTGGTACCAATTAGTGGACTGCTGATATCATCTGCTCCACTGTAACTGCTTGGTAATCTCAGTGGTATCAATTCTTCATTCCTATTTCCCAACTGCAAATTAAGAAGGTAGTAAATGATTAAAGGTTAAAGGTTAGACAAAAAACACTAGAATGCTCTGATAAAATATTTTCATAATGAAACTTATTGCACATTGTCTTGATGAATAATGCCATTTTTTGTAATAATTAAACCTATCAATTAACTCAGTTGTAATCAAAAATCAAAATCATCTGAGAATATCAGAAAACTCTGATCGGTGGTAAGCTTCAGGATCATAGTACCAGGTCATAAAAGTTATGTGTCCAGAGATTCAAATTGATTAAGCTAGAAAAATAGATGTTACCCTGAACGGATGAATTCCTGAGGCACTGCGAGATGAGTAAATGGTTCGAGCAGAAGTACTCTTTGGTGAACGACCGGAAGACGAATTAATTAAAGAATTTTCCGGAATTAAAACCCTCAAAATTTGTTCAAGGCTGCTATTGATCTTATTTTCCATTTTTTCCAGATGGCTGAAAAAGATTATATTTCATCTATAAATGATTAGTAGACTAACAAAATTCAAAAATTTTAAATCAAATTCAAACGAATCCTTCGAACAGAAAAGCGAAAGATTAAAAGAAATGAATCAATCCATACTTTTCAATATCACTAAGCCTTCTCTCCAACATCTGATAGCGAGCATCATCGTCCTCGGAACGATTACTCACTGAAAATTGAAAATTTGTGATAAATTAAAAACGAATCCAAGAAATTTTAGACACATCGCTTCTGATAAGTAATTTGCTAACAAATTAGGATGCTTTGTTAAAATAACAGACATCTCGCCGAAAATAAAATTAGAAAGTTTTTCTCTCACGTGAATTTTAACAATAATAAATCGTAGAGTTCACTAAGTTCAAACAAATATAATAGAGTACATTGGAATTCGGAAGCAGTAATTTCACCAAGAAATTAAGTAATGGGTAATGAGTGGGTAAGAAAAATGAAATCCAACAAATCTGAACAGGTGAATGAATAAGAAAAGGTCAGGAATAAGGAAGAAGTGTGACCCTTATGAACTGGACATAAATGTTCTTGATGAATTGTAGGATCAGTGTTATTAGTGGAGTATTATAAACATTTTTTATAGGCATTTCAAATAACAGGAAAAAACTTAAAACCTAATATTAAAAAATTTTATTTTAAATATTACATAATTGGTAGTAAGATTAGAAAGAATCTTTTTAACATTTCTTCTTGCAATTCGATAATATGTGTTAATTATCAAACAGAAATTCCACAAAAAAAGAAACGTTAATTGAGAGAATCAAACACAATTAGACATACGATGCCTTGATATAGGATTGCTGATAATTCTATGATAAGCTTCCTCATCACCCTTTACCAGCGGAGTGCTTTCCACATGTCGGTGACATGACAGCAACGCTTCACCTGCTTCATCAGAAAAAAGCTTCATTATTGTTAGCAAACTAAGCATATATCGATATTAAAGATAATGATTTATTCGCGAACTGTCAGGATTATCCAGTAATTCGATAAATATAAGGACGTGATAATGAGGTGGTTGTAAGTCAAATGGTATTTTCGTTTTAGTCTTCAGACGATTTAGCAACAGACTTGTATTATTTAATTCGGGTGCTCATTGAATTTTCGTGATTTGGAGATATTTAAAACAATAAAAGGATTGTTTGTGGGCATTTGCACTAATCATTGGATGTGATAGTTGAATGAAATATTTGTGAATGAAACATTTCACGATTTAATTAGTAATGCTATTTTAAATATTATTAATCGATTAATGGGATGTTTTTTTCTTGTGAGAATGAAAAAAGTGTTAGTAAAAAAGCTTCCATAAGGCGGAAATTGGAAAAAAAAGAAATTGTTTCGAAGGACAATTTTGAATCGCTAATGATTTAAGTTATGATATGTCCTTAAATTAATGGAAGTACGAAACGCGCTTAAAACTAACCTGTTGGCTCAGTCCGAGTGGTAAAATCATCCTTCCTTTCTATCGAACCTGAAAATATCTCAAATTCAAACCAATTAAATGGACATAATTTTTTGAAGTGTGAATATTTAAAATTATTAAACTTCTTGTACAGCCTATTCATTGCGATAAATTCTATAAATTAAAAACTATTGTGCGTTTTTTTGTTGCAAATCCTGACTTTTTTTTTCGTTTCTAATTACTGATTTTCAACCTAATTTTGATTTCAGTATAACACGTTGAAATTCAGGATGAAAAAAAAGTTCGGTGCTGCCATTAAAAAATTTCATTTTCCAACAAATACTTGATTATCCAACTTTCTTATCATATTGTCCTCAATTATTCTAGGCCTTCCTCATTTCCTAACTCCAAATGAATGCCCACCAAATTGATAAAAGCCAGAAAGAGAGATAAGAAAATCAAAGTCGCTTTTATTTATGATAAAGGGGAAGAAAAGATCGAAATATTAGTTGCAAGAAAAACTTTTTTGTAACCTTCTTTTTGAAATGAGGCTAATTTTTCCTTGTCCAACGATGATGACATCCGTAAAAGTTTATGCCTGTCAAGTCGTTTCTTCATCGATTGAGCTTCCTAAATCATTCAGTTAAATGTCTGAAATTTTTAGAAGAAAAAAACCTGACGATGTTCATTTAATGATTGAAAGAAAAATACGTCTTTATGAGAGTTAACGAATTTAAAATGAAATATTTCAAGATATTAATACTGAACGATTTTCTTCCATTTTATAAATGACTGAAAATATCATAAAAAATTTGTGTAAAAATGAAAAAAAAAGTGCTTATAAATACATGGAAAATATAAAAAAGAAAGGAACTAACATCTCTTAAATTATATGTGATAATTAAATTACGACAAAAATTTTCAGCAAATTCAGGATAAATGTCAAGCACATCAAGCAAATCATCCCGTAATATCCTATGCAAATCACAGTAAGTTAAGGCCCGAACATTACATGATGATTTCCCGACATCTTCGTGAAGCAACGGATTCTCCCCAAAGATATCATCTTTTCCTAAAAAAAGTCAATTTAATTTAATTCATTTCAAATTTAGTCAAAATTGAAGAAGTAAAAAAATTACACTACCGAATGATACATTTTACTGTGCCATCAAATTATTGAATGGATGATAATTGTAGATGGAAGATAACTCACCAAGAATACCCACAACCATGTCATCTTTGAGAATCTCCACTGAGCCTCTGGCAATAAAATTTAATCCAGTAAGAACATCACCTCGATGCACCAGGGTATCACCTGGTGGAGCATGTGTTGTTCGAAACCTACATTTCCTTCATTTTTTTCCATATTTAAAAATACTTAAAGAGCATGTTATTTTGATAATTTCTTACTATTTAGTAATGTTGAAATATAAATAGAGTGGTGTAATCACTTCATCCATAATTAATGAATAATTAATGGCATTAAACTTTTATAAAACTATTTCTTAAGTTAATATTTCAAATTTTCATCCTAAAAATTACAATTGTATTATAGAATTGATGAAAAAATTATCAGATGCAGAACCTCATGCTTAAGGCCCGTAAACAGCCAGGTGAACATCCAGCAAATGCTGGACAACTGTTGAGCAAATTTCGATTCAAATGCAGACATATATCTGCTTGAAGGCAATCTGGGAAACCTTTCAATACCTGCGAATAATTATTAATCAAAGAATTTAATACCTGAGAAAAGGAATGTCAAAGAAAAAAGTTTAAATGAAATATTCGACCAAAATAAGGACCACAGAAAAATTAGCACAATAGATGATAATATCGATAATTTCCAAAGATACATTCAATATCGTAAAGAAAAAAAATGAAGATGAACTTACAGTATTCATATCGATACCATTGGTATAAGACCAGGCATGTTGAAAATATTCCTCTAACCTCTGCCGTAGAGGATTTGGAATTTGATGAAAACGGATGAATTCCCGTAACCTAGACATTTCCGTATGATATCTTGCCGTACCACTATATAGTCGTTGTATTATTGCTGATACATTGCCGAATACGGATGCATACATTAATGCTAAAATCTCGAAAATCAACAATTTTTAAGTAGAACAAAATAATTTAAATTTGAAATCAAAAGTTTCATACACTTCAACACTTCGCTATTTAACATTTTGAAAATTTAATTTGAATAATTCTAACATTAAAAAAATGAAGAAACTAACATCCTAAAATCATCATAATAATAGTGAAAATTTTCTCAGAATCAGTAGTAGCAGAAACATTGCCAAAACCAATTGAGGTGATTGTTGAAAGTGTAAAATAAAGTGACGTAACATAACGTGATTTTAATGACGGCCCACCAGTCGGCGTGCTCCCGTTTGTTGATAAGTATGGTTCATTTAAGTGACGTGCTGCAATGAAATTTTAACATATGAATTATCATTTTATAAAAATATAAAACCTCTTATGATCATATATTTATATTTAACATTTCTATATTACTTAATAAATAAAAATTTAATTACAAAATTAGCCGCAATTGAAATGAGACCTACACATCCGTGGTGGAAATCAGTAATCATTTCCGTCACACTTAAAATGATAAACGCGCAGCAAAATTTGCTATGATAGTAAAGCTTACAATAATCAAAATAAAAATTAACAAATATATTTTATCTAATAAATTTTTTTAGCATATAACAATACGATTATTTGATATTTTCTGCCGTACCGTATCACGTAGCTCAAGTGGAATTTCACGTAAAATGTACCAAGTTGATGTAACCATGTGAATTCCTTATGAGGCAATTCAGCGCTTCCAATTGCATACCAAATGCAACCAAGCCAATGGGCAATTAATGCAAATGTTGCCATAAGTAGTAGCAAAACAGCAGCACCGTACTCAGAATAACGATCCAGTTTCCTGGCTACCCGTACTAATCTTAGAAGACGAGCGGTTTTTAGTAATCCAATTAGAGTGGTCGTCTAAAATAAATTCCAAAATTTGAAATAATTCTTCTTTTTCCTTTTATTTATTTTTTGGTTATAAATAAACTCCAGAATATGCCCGAGTGCTTTGCTAAATTTTTCAAAATTGTCCAAAAATTTTCAAGACTCACAAAAAAGCACTATGCAAATATTTTGCAGTTAGTCTTAAATTCAAATTTTCACCTGAGTTCCAAATTTTTTCTTCACAATTCATTGAATAAAAATTTTAAACTTGGCAAAAATTTAATTTAAAAAAAAGGGTTAGAAGTGGCATTTTGCAAAACTAACACACAGCAAAAAGTGAGTTATAATCGTAATATTGTACTCCTTTTCGTAGTTACAATTAATCATTAGGATTCAAAAATGTTTGTAAAAATTTACATGAACTTTGAAATCAATGGAAAACTTTTACAAATCTAAACATCAATTTAGGGAGGAAGAGAGCAAATTGATATCAGCAACAATTTCTTTGAATTTAAATACATAAATTTTATACTTCCTCGCATAACCATTAGATATTAAATTTCAAATTTTATGAAATTTTCTTTTGCTGAAGAATTTCAGTGAGTTTTTAGATTCGATTTAAGCTGAAGATGATTATCCAAATATTAAATCCCATGATGATACATTAGGACATGTAAATTTTGCAATACATCGTTTGATAATTTCACATCAAATATGTATAAAATATTTCTCGAATAATATGCTTAAAGAGTTACATGAACCGAAGATTAATTAAAGCTGAATGAGTCGGTCGATTGATATATTTTTAATTGTGTTTCTCATTCTGGACACTCTTGTCACTCTTGTCCACCAGTTTCAATAATTTAAAATGATAAATATCGCTTAATCTGGTTTTAAAGCATTTTAATATGAAAAAATAATTTTTGTCAAATTTTAACGATAAAAAAATCTTCTAATTTTCTAATCAAAAGTGCGATAACAGCGCCATTGGAAAAATAGTTGGAATCGTCACTAATGTAGCATTTTTTCCTTTCTTTTTTTGCATAAAATGGCTTAATCAGACAATAAGGAGAGTGAATTCATACCACTAATAAAATTTAAAATTAGTGCTGCATTTTGATTAAAATTCTTTTTTTAAAAACATTAAATTTCCTGATTGCTTAAATTCATTGCTCCAAGTAATAAAAGCAACTTTTTCAGCAATTAATTAAAACTTATCTTCTCAAATTATGCATAATATTTCAAATATCAGATGATACTATAATTTGAATTGCTGATGAGCTGTTAACCCAAAAATTTTTTGAATTTATTATTACTAATAGATAATGTAGGAAAGAGAATTCAAAGTTCATTTCTATTCTTTTTTTTTTTTTTTGTAAATTCAATGGTTATATGTTATATCGGATCACACCAAAGCAATAGCAGTTAGTTCTATTTTGTTATTTGAAAATATTTGTTACATTTTAAAATGCATTGTTATTTCCAATTATGATTTAGAGTGACCTTTCCTATTTCAAATGATCAAGGAGAGAAGAGGTCAACAGGAAAGACACTTATTCGGAAGCTAAAGTAATGTAAATTATTAGGTTTTTTGTTTATACTTGTTCTTGCGAAATTTTGTGAAATATCGCTTTACAACAAAGAAAATTGTAATGCAAGAGAGTAAATTAAAAACGGTAAAATTTTTGTTTACCAAAAATTTTTCTGGATTAAAAAAATAAGACTAAAAATAGTGAAAAAATCTTATAAGTACAAAATGGTGTTATTGCAGCAAATGGAAAGGAAAAGGACAAAGTAACTTTTCTTTCACGCCAAAAGGGACATTGCTTGTGATTTTTAAAATGAATAAATTAGGAGGAGAAAAAGGGATTTAAAAAAAAACTGCAAACATTTGCACCGTTTCATGTCATGCAATTTGTAAGCGAAAAGGAGAAAAAAAAACGAGCCAAGAATGAATAATTGCTTGCAATTTACCTCGTCCTTGTTGAGCCCACCGATCTTAAAAAAGAAACTTTCATTTTTTCTTTTTTTTCAAATTTAATATATAATCAAAATTCATCGCAACATTACCTTTTCTAGATAATTTTGTCTAATGATATCTTTAATACATTCATACTTGTATCAATCTTTCAACGAAAAATTGATCATATTAATCGTTTATTTATTAACTTTTAAATATTCATTTCATATATGGTAAAGAAAGTAAATGTTCAGTTAAATTTCAAAATAAAGTATCTCAGCATTCAAATATAATGTTAAAGTTAAAAATACATCTGCGATTTTTAAATTTTAATTAATATGCAACCGATCCTTCTCTTCCAGCACATTTACATTTGTCCATATGAATAATTCTCAAAGATATTAATACTAAATTAAATCACAGTTCACACTGTGCACTTTTTCTGAGCTCACTCTTTGATTTTGCATACTAATTGATCAAAAAGCACTCCAGCAACCTTTAAGCTTTAATTACTCTCATATCATTATTCTGCATGGAAGACTGATTGTACTCAAGTTTGATGCCAATTATTAAACTGTTATTGATAATTCAAAACTTTAGGAATTACATCTTCTAGAACAATTTTTGCTATTATCCAAAAGGCTGAGCATGTTAGCTTTAACATTTATTTAAAGATTTGAAGATGAAAAAGAGTACTAGGAGTTCATGGAACTAAATATCTGTGCAAAAAATATTTCTATAATTAATTTTCTCATCAGATTAATCCATCAACTATGATATCATTTGACAGTATAGATAGTTGATAAATGAAGTTTATGCCGCTATCACTTCTTTATAAATTACCACTGGAAGTAATAATAATTTTAATTTAAAAAGAAAAAACCTGTGACATAATTTTCTATGAGATAAAATTTTCTCACACTAACCCTTTTTTCTTTTTTATTTCTTTTGAAATTTATATAAAATTTGAGAGGAATAACTAACAATACATGAAAATTCTATTAAATAACGAATTTAAAGGTCAATCGATGTTTAAATATTTTTAAATCCTAGTGAATAACTTACGAAATTAAAAAGAAAGTCACCAGACGAAAAGAACTAAATAATTCTCCAAACTAATGAACCGTAAGAATAGTCACAGAAAAAGTGATAAGTAACCTCGTCACTGTTTGTATTTACAAGAAGAAGATCGAAGGGCACAGCAGCAATCATATCTATTATAAACCAGCCTTTAAAATAATGTATTGCTATCTTTCCAGGATGTGATACAACCTGAAAAACAAAATGAATTGAATGAGAAAAAAGCTGAATGTAAATATTGAATGTTATTAATTCATTGGAATAAAATTTAAACTATTAAATAAATTTTAATTTAAAATAAGGTAGAAATAAATTGTGTTGCCATACATAAATATAGAATTTAAAATTTTAGCAACAAACTTCATCATTTTCGTTAACGTAAGTTGTTCGGAAATTGATAATAATATCGACAATAAACATAATATCCACAATTAGATCAATAATTTCCAACGGTTCCGAGAAACGAGCTCTACGAGAGCTATCCTGAAATTTCAATTTTATTTCATATTAAAAGTTAATTTGAATGATGGAAATAGTAAAATTTTCCGTCATTTCTCAAGCAAAATTTTTACACTTCCATAAAAAATTTTTTTTTCGATCACTGAATGAATGATTAAGAAAATATACAATGATACTCAAAATAGGTATTACTCATTTTTTTGTGAGTCTTTAAGTAAATATAAATTTTATCTTGAATTCTTATAATTAATTTTTAAAGTATCAATTCAAAAAGTAAAGTAAAAACAATGAGAAGGACAAAGAAGGAGAAATGACTTCATTTCAAATATAGTGGACAATCATTGAAGATATATTCGTCAACAAGTGAAAAATGCATTTTAAGTCAAGGCGGAAATATTTTGATTATTAATCAGAGAAACAATCTGCAGAAAAGATACTAAAAGATATGATATATACGGTACTAAAGCAAAATGGTACTTTAGTACGGTAAAGTACCATTAGGATGGTACTTCGTCATACTAAAGCTCTTCATTTATTTGATTAAAATTAATTTATTCAATAATTTTTTTAATTTGATATAAGGAGAAGCCGAAATACCTCTCGTAATAAGAAGGCTGCAACGTAAGGCGTAAAAATGGCAGTATAAATGACGAGAAGAAGGATAATCCAATCCCAAACGGCCTTAAACGGAGAATAATGTACGATCGTACAATGATGGATCCTAAAAATTGAAGTGAAATTTATGGAGATTTGAGGAAAAAAATATCTAACCGAAAAATTCAAAATATGAATGGAAAAAATGATATTAAGTTTAACAATTTTAGAAATATATTGAGTAAAATATACAGATTACACTTTTTTGCAACTTAGTTAAATTTAAAACTAAAAATTTCAATTATTGATTTGTATGTTTTTATCTTTAACGTAAAATTTTAAATTGATAAGTTTTATCAAAATAAAATTAAATTCACCTAGTGGGCTGCAATTTATATTCCGGTAACACATCGGCTCCCAGTGATAGCACCTGAAAGTTGTTTTATTCGATTAATGATTTAGAATGTCATCTAAAATTAAAAGAACAGTAGGTAAGAAGAAAAAAGGTTAAACCGTGCAAAATCAAAAACAAATGTCTCGAGGGAACTGTTGACTTGATAGAATTGATTTTAGTCATTGATCACTGATTCAAAATCAAGGAATGAAATTTTTTCCTCTTCTTTCATTGGTTCATTGTAAAGTATGTATACTTCAAAACATTTCTTGCATAATGTCCCCTCCAACACTAACCCGAATACTCAAATATCCGAAAATATCCTTTTCAGGAATAATTCCCATAATCTATGGAATAATACTCGATACAACATTTATAGTGCAAGTAATGCGTACGTACTTAATGGAATAGTCATTCGGGAGAAATAATTTCGTCTAATTAATAAATGAAAAAGTGCATAATTAAGATTAATCAGTATTGCAAGATGGATGAATCAATTGTATTCTTGCAATACTGGATAGCAACTTACTTTGATCACGTTGCCAGGTAAGGTCACTGCAATACATCTGAACAAAAAAAAATCTAGGGGAAATGTCTTACTGAATAAAATTAATCTTTCCTTAATGTAATCTACAACGATCAACGATTGTATAATTATAATTTTAAAACTATTTGATAAAGAAATAAATTATGAATTAGTTGCGAAATAAAAAATTAAGTTTTAAAACTTACGAAATATCAAAAAAGAACACTACATTATTATCTTGCCCATCATTTTATTTCAATAAATGATTTATTTTTAAATTAATACGCATATTTAATTAATATATGAATTTTCTCATATCATACTCATTTTATTCATCTTATACAGGAATTTAATTGAAATTATTTATATGAATTGTAATCAAATATGAAACCCTATTTTTAGTGAATGTGTGCAGAAAGAGCAAAAAAATTCACCTCGCAAATTCGGTAGCAACATTTGGCATAACTTTTCTTATCAAACTGTTCTGATGATTCGTTGTCTTCTTTTTTCTCATTTGTTTACAAAACATTTGTAAAATTTCATTTCATTTATATGAGCAATAAAAAATGAGATTTGAGAAGGATTAATGTTTTTCTTCATTCTATACATTCAATATTTTAAACTTCAAAAACTATATAATGCATAAATATTCTAATCTAAATGACTCCAAAAAAGGTCAGCAAATATCTGAATGATAATGTAAATGTTACTATCAAAACTGATCATACATTTCTACCATTTATGCTAATGTTTGCTTTTTTTTTTTGTTTCGCAGACTTATACTTCAAATAGTCCAATTTAATTTGTGAAAAAATTCTTTCAAAGAGTGAAGAAAAATCACAGAAAAATTTTGATCAATTTAAATATATCTCCAAATGATCAAACCGATGAGAGCAGCAAATGATGCAGTAATAGTAATAAATTCAGTGATATATCACTTAAAAGTTGTTAATTTAGTGTAAAATCTCTTTTCGTTCTTCGATTTTTGAAAACTTAAAAAAATACGAGACAAAGAGAACAAATAGCCTAAGGCATATTATTTGCAACTGAATTCTTCAGCTAATTCATTTGTTTGATTAAATTAATCATTTTTGTAATCATTAAGCTTTGTGTATTTTTAATCAATAATCTATATATTTAAACATTGTATTTTTGTAAAAAAATCCCTCAAACTCAATTTAAATTAGGCATACAAGCAAAAATTAAAGACAGTTTTTTTCTTTGCGTTCATATAAGAAATTAAAAAACAGAACTGATTGGTGAAAATGAAACGATTGAATATGAACTATAAATATTGATAAGATTTTCCTGTAATATCTCAAATAATTTCCCGTTTCAATATACATAATATAAGCTTCTCAATTATTATTTTTATTTTTTGACATATGAAAGTGTTAAAAATTTTTACGATTTTCATATATATTCAAAAAATATGAGGAAGATATTAAAATAAGAAAATGTAAGCTTGAAATAGAGAATATTTGAGGGAAAACAATGACGAGTGGAGTCTCACGATAACAATTTTTTCGTTTGTTTTTTTGAAGAAAATAAATAAGACAAACAAGAAATCAATGTTTTGCTTAGAAATGGAAATGACGAAAATGGAAATTGACTTAGTTGAAAAGCTCTTTAAGTGCTGATTTTAACTTTGGGTTAATGTGCATCGTTTGTATGCATGAGATGATGTCATTTTACCATTTCATTTTATAATCATTTTTGATTTATCACTTTATCACCATCAATGACGTTTTTTTATTTATAATAAACGAAATTGAATTTTTGGACTGATATTGTATGCTTACGTATTGTTAAGCAAACGTTAATTTCGAGAAGGATAAGCGGAGATAAAAGAATGAAATTAGGGAGAAAACAAAAAACTTTATTTGCTTTCGTTATCAGTCAAATGTATATATTCAATTATTGATGAGAAAAGTGAGAAAGAAATGAGATTAAATGATAATGACATGAAGTAATAAATTTATCAAATTATCAGTAATGTTAAGGGAAATGTATTTTCGTTATACTGAACTAGAAATAATAATTCATGATTATTTGGAATTGTTTATTTGAAACAGTAAACGAATTAAAAAATTGATGAATTAAAATATTGAGCTAAGATTTTTTGATAAAAAAGGAAAAGAATTAATATGAGATGATTGATTAGCATTAAAATGAAATCCACCATCTTCGTATTGAAATAATATTAACAAATGATAAAAATTAACTATAAAATTTGTATAAGTTATTGATGATAGTTTAAAACATCCTTCAATATCTTTCTCTAACATTGGCAAATAATTCATACAATCCTTAGCATGAATTACAATTATTTGACATTTATCTTATCTCTCAATGAATTAAGCTACAGATAAATTATCAAATATTCATAAATCATAAAAAAGAAAGATTCTCATAAGTCCATTATCTAAAGTATACTAACAGTTATCAGTTGAAGTGAATAACAAATTTTTTTCCCCAGATAATTCGAGTCGAATAGTGATAGCAGAAATTTTACGGCAACAAAGAACTTACAGCAGCAAAAGGCATTGAATCGGTTGAGAGAGATGGTATGGCTGCAGAAAGCCGTCGTATGAAACTTGGACGATGATAGCCGGTTCGTTGTTGTTGTTGATAATGAAATGATAATGACTCTTGTCTGCCAATCTTTCGATTCGCATAATTTGACAATGGATGTAACAGATGATTTTCTCGTGGATTCGATGGTAATAGCTTAACCAAATGGATACAGTTAAATTTCAACCGTTATCATGCAATCAAATTATCATTTTCATGGAGTAGTGTATATGATTCAATTGATATGTCTTTTTTCTGCGCTGTATAGATTATTAAATTTAATGTAAAGTTTTGTTTTTATTTCACTCTAGAAACATATGGGATGAATGATAAATGAATTCTCGTATGTATTCACTAAATTAAATTAATTTAATCCAACATTTATTGGAAGTAAAGAGTGAATGATGCCGAAACACATCTCCCAAAAAGGCAACTTAAGCTCAGAAGAATAATTAAGAGAAACGCTACCAGACTATTAGCAAGATGATAACACATGGTTAGCAATTCTAGCTGATCCAACTGATGAATCAAAGGATTGGAAAGAAAAATTTCTGCGAATGACGTCATTCAACACGTCATAATTTGAGAAGTTGAATAAATAATGTTGATCAAATCTAATTTTCCTACCTATAGACACAGCTATCTCAATTATTAAATATTCCAATTTTATCACCCATTTGTAAAGCTTAATTGGAAAAATTAAAATTGAAAAGTACAAAATGGTATTTCCGTTTAATTTTTTTTGCAAACACCAAATTCATTAGCCAAGAAATAATTTAATTTTTAAATCAATTAATGCATGAACTGAAAATGAAATAAAAGTTCAGATATCAACAATCTTTCTCTCATCCGTTCCCTAAATATTCATTTATTTAATTATTTATTACATGTGAGACATGCATTTAACTTTATCAGGTTCTGTATTTTGGTAATTTCCTTCCCTCTCATTTTCCCATATTTTCAATTAAATAATAAATTATTATGGCATTACCTCAAAATTATACCAGTAATACTCAATTCAAATATACTATTTGAATTACTTTGTTCCTTTCCCTTTTTCTTATTCATTGCTATCACTACTGCTATAGCTATTGTTATTATTGTTCTTAATTATTGCTATATTCAGTTTTTCCGCAAAAGAAAAAAGCGTTTAATTAATCAATCAGTCGAACCGTGGATGTGGATGTTATTCGGGTAGATGCTAATTCGCCTTTGATATCGCTTTCTGGTACAGACACTAATAGTTCTGTCTGGTATAAATTCATCCAATTCTAATGATAGTGATAATAATAATAACAATCTTGTTGTTTGAAGCCAATATTTGACGTGTATTGTAGAATTCGAATTCATTAGAATTCCTCACAGTTTTGTACAGAGCAATAGTGGTTGTCGGGTTTCCCTTTACAATATCGTAATTTTCCAATCAATTTGAAAATTGCATTAAAAAGACTGATTGATACATAGCAATATCGAGAAAAAGTACTTTTCGTTTTCAGAACTGTTGCCGCAGATTATTCAATCCCATAATTACAATTGTGAAGAGAATTCAGTAAGATCATACTTCTCGGAAATCTCTTTCATATCTTTTGCTAATTGCAGTCACATGCGAAATAGGCATATTCATTATTCATTAATTTCTCTAAACATCAGATGGAATGTTATTTAAATTATTGGCCAGATTTTCAGCGGTCACCAGCCCAAGATGATATGACTGAAAGTATTTGTTATAATTAAATCAAATGCGTATTTTTATGAAAAACATTTCAAAAGAGTGAAAAACTGAATTTTGAAGCGAAAAATAGAAATGCGAGAAGAATGAATGATCAGTGAGACATTGGTGAAATTATGACAAATGATAAGAAAATGATGAAATAATATGGACTTTATCTTCAAAACAACATAAACATAAGATCAACTGACTAAAAATACAGGACAAATGATGTAATCAGACAGTAATAACTGATATTGCTGATCTTAACCTTTTGTCTTGGCCTCATATCCTTCTTTCTTTAAACTATCATATAATGGTGGATCAATTGATGTAATTTTTATATTAAAGAAAAAATAATTATTACTCCCATTTTCGTATATTCTCTATGGTTAACTCCAAAAAAAGTGAAAAAAATACGAGAAAGTAGCAGTTTTAAATTCATCATTTAAATTCATATCATCAGCTATTGACCCCTCCCCCCTCCCCCCCATGTTATATTTATACTCTAACTTTGGCTTAGACGTCATTCTTTG